AAGTTGACCCCTGATTGAAGGCCTTCTCACTGTCTGATCCAGCTCAAATTTGGAGACCTTAAAGATGGAAGTATCAGCTTTCCAGTGAACTTTTACAGCTTGGCAATCCAACGGTTCAATCAAAAGATACGCGAAGAGCAAGATGTCCCGTAAACCAGCCGGCAAATACTTTCCACCTGCGGCCAAACACTCATTCCCCACGGTCAGGAGCATCCCGACCGCGGCCAAACACTCGTTCTCCGCGGTCACACTTGTCCCGACCGCGGCCAGCAACCTCCGAGCCCAAAAAGCCCATTTCTGAAGCCTACAATGATTCCTTCATTTGGAGAAACCCTAAGTGACGTCCAGAGATGTCTTGAGCACTATGAATACATGTCTTAGAAACCCTAAACAAGAGAGAACCGAATATCATCTATCATTACTTCATATTTTTATTGTTTTTGCTTTAGCTTTTAGGGAGAGAGAGATTTGTTCTCTTGAACCCTTGTTCTTTCTTTTTCAATTATGGTTTCTATTCTACTTCTTAATACTATGTCTTTGATTTCGTTCATTATGTCTGAGTAGTTTTATTGTTGGGATTAAGGGATTTTCGATGGGGATTTATATGTTCGATGAGGATTCCATGAGCTTTTGAGCCGAATCTTAGAACTTTTTCTTCTGAATTCGTTTTTACTGCATGAGAGTAGCGTCATGAACTACAATCTGATCCAGATGCTTGGTGACACGAAAGTGTTCATCAGGTATCAGATCTAGTTTGGGAGAGCAAAACAAACATAGGAGTGGAAACCTACCTATGGGCGATTTGTGAATTAGGACGAGTCTTAAACATAATGCATCTCTTCTCTTCCAGGGCCAGAGTGGAAACCTACTGGTCAGGATTGAGAGTGATAGTTGTCTATGATCACGACAGTGGCGTATTCATACGTCCGTGACTCCAGTTCGAAAAGTTTAAGCTAAGATCTTATCAATTTTACTCTCTAGCAATGTTTTGAATCGTTCGTACCCCTGAGAAAACTTCCCTGAACCCCAACGCCTTCTTTCCCATTGATTTACACCGATTTTCTTTCAGCTTTAGTTCAATATTGTCTTTCCTTTTTAGTTCATTTTCATTTAAGCAATTAGATATCCGTTTTTACAGTTTTAGTCATTTTTATTAAGTTTAGTTATTACGCAATTTAATTCCCGTATTCTCTTTTAATATTTCGTTTTTACATTTTAAACATGCTACCAAACCCCCACAAAACCGTTTTGGTTCTAGACTTCCTTACTTTATACTTATTTCAAAGGCTTTTTGCAGGAAAATATCCTCCTTCCCTATGGATTCGATCCCTAAGTACTACAATCGATCAGCTGTGCACTTGCGGCTATTGATTTCATTTAGGGTAAAACTTGACAACCCTCGACACACACCGACACCACAATCAATTGCCCAATCCTTCCTTGTGGTGCTCATAGTCTTCTGCAGAATGTTCTTGATTTCCCTGTTGGAAACCTCAACTTGCCCACTGGTCTGAGGATGGTATGGGGTCGCCACCTTATGCTTTACACCATTCTTCTTCAACAAGTTTTCAAAGACTTTGTTGATGAAGTGAGAGCCTCCATCGCTAATCACCACTCGCGGCACACCAAACCTGGGAAAAATGACAGATTTGAACATCTTTACAACCACTTTTGCGTCATTCGTGGGACTAGCCAGAGCTTCCACCCACTTTGACACATAGTCACTTGCCACCAGGATATACTTATTCCCATAAGATAATGGAAAAGGTACCATGAAGTCTATACCCACACATCAAAAATCTCCACTTCCAAGATGAAATTCTGAGGCATCTCATTCCTCCTGCTAATGTTTCCCTGTCTCTGACATGTGTCACATCTGGAGATAAAACTCGCTGCATCTCGGAACATCGTTGGCCACCAATACCCAGCTTGGAGAATTTTCGACACAGTCTTGAAAGTGGCGAAGTGACCTGCATAAGAGGATCCATGGCAATGAAACAACACTCTTGGTATCTCCTCATCAGCTACACATCTTCTGAAGATTCTATCAGAGCAATGCCTGTATAAGTAAGGCTCATCCCAAAAGTAGTGCCTCACATCCTTCAGAAACTTCTTCTTTTTGTTTCCCACAAAATTTGCAGGTTCCTGCTCTGCAGCAAGATAATTTGCAATCTTTTTAAACCATGGGAAACCAGAATGCCGATCTATGTTAACTGATTTGCAAAAACTCGTCAGAGCAGGTGCTCTGGGTTGGAGCAGGTGCTCGTCGAACCCAGAAACATCTATGGCGTAAATTTGTTCATCAGGAAGGCTGTCATCTAGTGGAATGTCATCATCGATCTTCAGCCTCGACAAGTGGTCTGCAACACCATTATCAATCCCTTTTTTGTCTTTAATCTCCAAATCAAACTCTTGCAGCAAAAGGATCCATCTAAGGAGCCTTGGCTTGACATCTTTCTTCGTCAACAGGTATTTCAGCGCTGCATGGTCTGTGTGAACAACAACTTTCGCCCCAACAAGGTAAGACCTGAACTTCTCAAAGGCATAAACCACTGCAAGAAGCTCCTTTTTAGTTGTGGTATATCTGCACTGAGCTTCGTCGAGTGTTCGGCTGGCATAATAGATGACATGGAGCCTCTTTTCTTTCCTCTGTCCCAGCACTGCTCCCACTGCATAATCACTAGCATCGGTCATGACTTCAAAAGGTAGTTCCCAATCTGGTGGCTGGACAATAGGAGCGCTGACCAAAGCTCCTTTTATCGTGTGAAATGCCTCCAAACATGCATCATCAAACTCGAATTTCACATCCTTGCACAGCAGCTGCATCAGAGGTCTAACAATCTTTGAGAAATCTTTGATGAAGCGTCTGTAAAAACCAGCATGACCCAGAAAACTGCGAACCCCTTTGACTGATGTTGGTGGCTGTAAACTCATCATCACCTCGATCTTTGCCCTGTCCACTTCGATTCCTTTCTCTGAGATTTTGTGTCCCAGCACGATCCCATCTCTCACCATGAAGTGGCATTTCTCCCAGTTAAGCACCAGATGCTTCTCCTCACACCGCTGCAAGACCCTGCACAGATTAGACAAACAGACAGAAAAGGAGCTTCCATAGACAGAAAAATCGTCCATGAAAACTTCCATTATGTCTTCAATCAGGTCAGTAAAAATCGACATCATGCAGCGTTGGAATGTTGCTGGAGCATTACACAAGCCGAATGGCATTCTGCGATACGCAAAGGTGCCATAAGGACATGTGAATGTCGTCTTCTCCTGGTCGTCCGGGTGGACTGGGATCTGAAAGAAACCTGAATAACCATCTAAGAAACAGTAGTAAGGATGGTTAGCCAAGCGTTCAAGCATCTGATCGATAAATGGTAAAGGAAAATAATCTTTGCGAGTTGCAGCATTCAATTTCCTGTAATCTATGCACATTCGATGCCCAGTAACAGTTCTTGTTGGTATCAATTCATTCCTATCATTTTTTATCACAGTGATGCCACCTTTCTTAGGAACTACATGAACCGGACTAACCCAATTACTGTCTGAAATCGCATAGATTACTCCAGCTTCTAGAAGTTTCATTATCTCCTTCTTAACAACATCTTGTAGATTCGGGTTTAACCTCCTCTGATGTTCTACAGAAGTCATCGATTCATCTTCTAGATGTATTCTATGCATGCAAAGATCAGGGGAAATTCTTGGAATGTCATCTAGTGAATATCCTAGAGCTTTCCTATACTTTCTAAGTTCACAAAGAAGCAAGGCAATCTCTACATTGTTCAATTCAGAGTTCACTATCACAGGGTATGTCGAATTGGGTCCTAGAAACGCGTACCTGAGCCCCACAGGAAGGGGTTTGAGCTCAAGCTTTGGAGCTCTCAATTCGCTCCAAGGTCCATCAATCAAGCCGTCGGGAGCAGGTGCTCCAGGATTCGGAGCAGGTGCTCCGTCGGCTTTTTCTGCAGGTGAGCTCTCCTTGCCTTCTAAGCTCATGTACGCCACCAGACTTTGCATCCTCGTGCTTGCATTCAGAATCTTTGCAAACCCATCAGCTTCTTCACTCAAATACCCATGTTCTACTTCGGCTTTGGTGAGTGCAACTTCCAGAGGATCGATGGCCAAAACCTCTTCAGCAACCTCTTCAGCAATGCTTGAACCATCATCTATGACAAATGTCTGTCCGTCCAGCATTGGTTTCTTGAGGAGTTTATTCATCTCAAATCGCACCACCATATCTCCCAGCTGGAGATCTATAACTCCTCCTTTCACATCTATGATTGCACCAGCTGTGCATAAGAAGGATCGACCCAATATCAAAGGATCCTTGGGTTCTTCATCAACCTCCAGAACCACAAAATCTGCTGGAATGAGTGTATCGCCTATCTGAACATGCAGATCCACAAGTATACCAACAGGGAATTTGGTTGATCTATCAGTGAATACCAGCGAGATTTTCGTCGGTTTGAATCTGGTGTAACCCAATCGCTTGGCTACAGAGTAAGGCATCAGATTTACACTTGAACCCAGATCGCAGAGAGACCTTGCAAACAGCACATTCCCAATTCTGACTGAGAGAACAAACCTTCCTGGATCACTTCTCTTTTTCAGCACTTTGTTCTGAAGCACAGCACTACACTCCTTCGAAACCATCATGACACTATCTTCCTCAACAGCTTTCCCAGACACTAACCCCTTCATGTATCTTTTAAGGGCTGGTATCATCTGAACAGCATCAGCTAGAGGGAGTTTTACAGTTAAATCCTTCAGCATCTCCCTGCACTTTGCCTCCTCTAAGTCCTTGCGAGACTTCTTTGGTGGAACTGGGTAAGGTACCTTAGGCGTGTAAACTCTTGCAGGAATGTTTGCTGGAGCAGGTGGCTGGAGCAGGTGCTCCCTCGTTGGCTCAGGGTGCTCCATCGTCAAATCTACGTCTGGACCAGGTGCTCCCGATTTTGGAGCAGGTGCTCCGATGGGGGAAGAATGCTCCTTCGTCTTTTTTATGTCATGAGCTGTTCCTCTTCTTGGAGCAGGTGCTCCACGTCCTTTTCCTTCCTCTTTTCTGAGACAGAGCTTGTTGGTGCAACATGTAGAGTCTTCCCACTTCTCAGCTCAATAGCATTCACAAACTCATTCCTGGGGTTTTCACCTTTTCCAGGGAGAGTTCCAGGTGATCTCTTCACAGCTTCTGCAGTCTGAGCTACCTGAACATCCAGCTTCTTCACATGAGTCCACACTGCTTTATACTTGCCATTCAAGTCATTGTACATGGTGTCCATTTTGGCATTCATCTCCATGGAAGACTTTTGCTGATTAACCAGCAGCTGTTGCATCAAGTTTTTCAGCTCATCCTGCGAGTTATTTGAGGAACTCGAAGAAGGCTGTAGACTTGTGAAAGGCAACTTCTGCTGATTTCCATCTTGAAATCGATTCTGATTGGTGATGAACTGCTTTCCTTGGAAATTGCTGGAGAAGTTCTTCTGAAATCCTGACTGATTCTGCACTCCTTGCTGCGGATAGACCTGATCCTGAGGGTTCTCAACATTGTTTCTTCTGTAGGATAAATTTGGGTGGTTTCTGAAGTTGTTGAAGCTGCGATTCTGCACATACCCTTGTCCATTCACGAAATTTACCTCCATCTGATCATTATTCTCTGCATCTACAAACTCTTGAGCAAGAGGTGCATCACCAACCTCATCAGCAAAATGCACAGATCTCTGGTTCTTTCTCAACAGCAGATTCACCTTTGCTGTAAGCTCATCGATCTTGCTCAACTCCACACTATGAACTGCTTTGCTAGACCTGTCATACTCTTGGGATTTGTTGCTGGAGCTTGCAGCTAAGTTCTCAATCAGCTCATAAGCAGCTTTTTTGGACTTAGTCATGAAATCGCCATTGCTAGCTGCATTCAAAGCATTCCTGTAATCCCAGTTGACACCATCGTAAAAGGTTGACAGAATCTGCTCATCAGAGAACCCATGGTGAGGGCACTCTCTTCAGTACTCCTTGTACCTTTCCCAAGCTTCGCAAAAAGCTTCACCAGGTTGCTGTTTAAATGACAAGATCTTGTTCTTCAGAGCTGCAGTTTTGGCCTTAGTGTAGAAATGGTCCAAAAATGCTGATCTGCACTCTTCCCATGTAGTCAATGACCCAGGTGGTAATGACTTCAGCCAGCGCAAAGCTTTGTCTGCAAGTGAGAATGGAAAAAGCTTGCACTTCAAAAAATCGGCTGGTATCCCATTTGATCCAGTCGTGCTGCAAATCTCCTCAAAATTCTCGATGTGGTCCATCGGAATCTTAGCAGGAAGCCCATGAAAGAGGTGCTGCTTCACCAATGAGATCAGCTGAGGTTTGATCTCAAAGTCTTGCCTCTAAATGGTTGGAGGAGCAATCGCAGCCCTATTGTGATAGTAAGCATGCGGACTGTCCTTGTCTCCAATAGCAGGCTGTGGCTGCTCCCTGTCTTGCTGCGCCTTTTGCAGCTGCTCCAATTGCTGTCGAAGCTGTTGCAGCTCGACAGCCATGTTGTCATTGTTGCCTTGATCGCCCATGTTGGCTTGAATAGGCCTTTGACGTCTGTTTTCTCGCTCGACTCTTGCTAGCTCGGTGTTCGACAAAGAAACAAGATCAGTGCAGTTGCTCCTTGTGGATATGTTTGACATACACCTGAAACACACGCAAACAAGAGAACAAGATAAAAAAATTAGTAAAGTCTTAGTCTGAATTTCAAACCAAAAATCAAAGGTAACGAATTGGTCCCCGTCGCAACGGCGCCAAAATTTGATTCACACTGGATGTACTCCTAGTTTCTACTGCAATAGAACAGTGATGTAATTGTATTATAAAGGATTCGGAATCAAGAGGACCAGTGTTACTCTATGACTTTGCGAGGATTGAATTAAAGCTAAGACGAAAGATGGTTTGTTGCGAAAACTAAAAAGTAAACAGAATGGCAAACAACGATTTAAATTCAAATTAAAACAAGCACTAGACCAAAGCAGTTCGCAGGAATTTCAGAGATAAGAACCAGATGACTATTCAGGGTACAAGTGTAACGCAAGTCTCGAACTCAAACAGAAAAGCTTATCGATCCACTGTCGTGATCTCGATAACTTTGTCTAACAACCTAAATCCTAAACTGTCGTTTGAACCTAGAAAATTGCAGACAAGCATTAGCTAGCAGGTTTGATCTATTCACGATTTGCCTTAACTTCAACTGTCGTTGGCTAAGGACAAATCGCTCACCAATGTTTATTCTAGCAACCTATTACACTTTTGATGAATAGATTAACCTAAAATCGCAGATTGAGTGATCAATTCAACCTAAGCATTAAGTCTAACTAGCCCTGGGCATTCGGGTCGGCGGTTCGGGTTTGGGTCGGTTCCTCGGGTTTCGGGTATCCGAACGATGATTGTTTAATAACCGAATAAGAACCAAATAAATTTCGGTTCGGTTCGGATTGGTAATATACGGTTTCGGTTCGGTTTTCTTTTTTTTTGTATAAACCCGAGGTAGATCCGAATATACGATTTCAGGTAATTTTGTACCCGAATAACCAAAGAAAATCAGTGAAAATGAGTTCAAATTGAATTTCGGTTGTTTATAAACCCGAATAACCCGAAAAAACCAATCAAACACGAAAAACCCGAAATAAACCAACAAAATCCAAATTCCAAATATCCATTTGAACAAAGCGTGCAAAATAAAAAGAAGTTATGACAAATTTGTGCACAATATCGAGAATACATGTTCTCCAAGTTGAACTTCCATATCAGTTCCAACCATAAATCCAAAAAAACTAATGACAAAAGACATAGAAGATTGAAAAACATTACTTGCTGAATCCCAAAAACTATCTCATCCAGCCTTCCTTACAAAGTTGCTATCTCTATCTCCAACTCCAATCTTCTTATCTTGCCTGTATACAACAATGATCAAAGGAAACAAGTAAACAACAATGAAAAAGACAAAAACGCTCTTCCAAAACTCATCACTAAACCATTATAGCCTCATCGTAAAACAAAAACAAGCAAACATACATAACATTACCATCATAACCAATTCAGCCTCATCACTAAACGGCTAAACCATTCAAAAACCGATTATTACCAAACTTCAGTTAAGCATAACATTACCTTATCACATCAGTCTTCATCTTCAGGTTCAAAAAAGTTTGGAGACTTTAAGTTATCCATTTCTGAGAAGTGAAAAAGATGGATAACATTAAAAACATTAAACTTTTCAGATGAGATTTTAAAGAGAAGAAACATACGTCTTTGAAGTTTATCCTGCAACTCAATATCAGCAAGCAGCTCTTCTTTAGTGATCACACCTCTATCACTTAGACGAATCTCACACTTCAGCCATTGCTCAGTGCACATTAGCACTTCAATCATGTAATGGGTTAAACAACTTCGAAATGGGTCTAAAATTCGATCACTTGTGCTAAAAGCAGACTCTGAAGCAACAGAGGACACCTGCATTGCAAGCACATCCCTTGCCATCTCGGATAAAACCGGAAATTTGTAGCTGTTCAACTTCCACCATCCAAAACATCATAATCTGTACCGAATATGTTTTTTTTTGGAGTTTCACATTTCTCCTTCAAGTATATATCCAACTCCGTACCTGAATCTTCAGTTCCTAACTCATCTACCATCTCTTTGTAGACAAAATCCATTCTCTCATATCCACTTTCAAAATCTAAATCCATTTTGTCAAAGACATTACCCGTAGCATGATCTTGACTCGAAGTACCACTCTGAGACTCATTTCCTGCGGATTTAGATGATGTCTCACCTCCAGATAACTTGTTGCTATACTCCTCAAATAATTTCTTTATAACCGTAGTCACAGAATCCACCAACTCCCTTGATTGAGGACTATCTTTCCCATAAATCCTCTCAAAGCAGAGAGTAGCAAACCTCATTTTGTTGCTTGGATCTAAGATACTCGCAATGATTAGAAGCCTATTGATTTCTGGCCCATCCCAGTACTTCTCAAACTTCTTTCTCATTGCATCGGCCTTTGACCTCATTGTTGAGTCCTGATCTTTGCTCAGCTTGATCAAGTTGGTTTCGATGGTCACAATCTCATTGTAACACTTGTGAGAATTCAGTGAAGTAGATGCTGAAACAACTAAAGTAGAGTTGTAAAAGATAATCAAAAACCTTACTAGTCTTGCAACCGAATCCCAATCATTCTTTGTTGGTGGGCCAACTCTCTTATTTCCTTCCACTTGTTCTTGAAAGTAAGCATTGTAGAGCATATCTTCTGCTTCCATTCGATCAAAACCTGTCCTAAAGTTTAGAGTCCTTGACAGCATAAGGTAAGTAGAGTTCCACCGTGTTTTACAGTCTAAGGGTAAACTGCCTCTTGTCATTTTTGCTGATTCCACTCTTAGATCAAATGCTTTGATTCGGTTAGTAGAAGCTCTCATATACTGAACTCCATTACGGATTGCAGATACATTTTTGTTAACTTCATGTAACCCATCGTTTACTATCAGGTTGATGATGTGAGCAGCACATCGTAAATGCATGTGGTCACCTCCTAGAACCAATGCGTGATCACCTGTTCCAAGGAAAGCCTCCTTAAACTTCCTCAAGGCACTCGTGTTGGCAGTGGCATTATCGACAGTGATTGTGAAGACCTTCTCTATCCCCCAATCAGCCAAGCACTCTAGCAAAACTCTACAAATTGTAGTCCCTTTGTGATCGTCGATGTTTTTAAACCCTATGATCAGTTTCCTTAGCTGCCATTTCACATCAATGAAGTGAGCTGTGATGACCATATAGCTAGCTCCGGTTGTTGGAGCAACCCAAATGTCAGTGGTCAAAGACACTCTTTGCTTGTTTGCATCAAGCACCTTTCTCATTGCAGCTTTCTTCTTAACATACATCCCCACGATTTCTCTAGTGAATGTTCTCCTTGACTTTGGCTGTGGAAGACCCACACGATTGCAGAAATGTCTCCAAGCCAGACTTTCAATAAATGAAAGTGGCAATTCAGCCAACACAATCATCTCATTCGATGCTTCTCTAACCACTGCTTCCGAAACCTTCGACAACTGCAGAGTACCACTTGCATCTTCAGAAACTATAATATTCTGCCTGTCTTTTTTTGTTTCCTGCCACGCAATATGCTCCTTGCAAATTCGCAGATGATTCTTCAAGCTTGAAGTTCCACTCTTACTGTTGCAGGACATCGACTTACCACAATAATGACAGACGCAGGTGTTGACATCCTCCTTAGTTCGTGTGAAGTGTTTCCACACATCAGACCTTGTGTTACAGATTTTTAATTTCTTTTTCGGCTTGAACGGAGGTGAGCTAGTTTCACTCCTTGGATTCTCTTTGCTTCTCGGTGTAGGAGAAGTTCCATGCTCATCTTCAGAAATGGGATCCTTTGTTGGTGACGAAGAACCCATCTGCACCAAACATTATAGAACTCGTTAAGCTTTTGAAGAAGAAGAACATCCGAAGAAATCCAAATCCAGCTAAATACAAATCGTAAAATTGAAGAGAAAAAATCAAGACAGAAGAATCAGAGAAGGAAGACTTACCTGGGAATCAACTCTCGACGACAATGAAGGAGGAGAATGGTGGTGAATTTGATCGAGAAATGGAATTAGGGTATCCAGTTTTCCCGATTTGGGATTTATTAGAAGGGGGAAAAAAAATAGAGAGATGAAATCGAATGTTTTTTTTTGTAATGTTGGTATATGAATTTCATTTTTTAGGTAGAAGAATTATGCAATTAATTCAGGGAGTTATTTTGAAATTCGGGTTTTAATGCGGTTCTCGGGTTTACCCTAACCCGAACCGAGAACCGAATCAAATAATTTAAAAACCCATTCGGCTTTTGCAGTCAAACCGAATCCAAACCGAAGTCATTTTTTTGGGTCGGTTCGGTTCGGTTCTCGCGGTTTCGGTTATTATGCCCAGGCCGAAGTCTAACAATGGCGAAGACGAAAGATATCAAGCCCTATTTGCATCTAATCCTTTAACTCATGAAATCCTTTGAACGCTTTAATCCAGCTAAGAGATCTACTCAGACATGGAGAAAAGAAACACAGCAACAGATGAAAAGAAATTCATGGATTAAAATCGCAGAAGAGATAATAGGGTTCAGAATTCTTCTCAAAGTGTAGCAGATTTCTTCTCCCAAAAGCTTACAAGTAAAAACTCTATGGTTCAGGAAATTGTAAAAAGAAAGCGTAAAAAGTCTGTAGAAAAACGTGATGATAAAAGGTAGGCGGCTCTGGACTTTTTATTCTCTTTCTCCTCC